TGGAGGTGATGGCATGTTGACTTGTCGAATGAGAAATGGACGGGAAGAGGCTATAGGAGATGTATGGGAGCTTACCGGGTCCCACTGAGCGTGTAAAGCGGAAATTTAGATATTATATTATCTTGACAAAGTCAATTTTAATTTCCTCACCCTAAACTTTTTTTTCTTCGTATAATCCCACTAATTCACATTACTCTTTAGTATTTCCTACGGCTAGTCTATTTCATTAGATTCCTTTTGGCAATGGCAAAGATTGGGTGGAGTATTTTTTCTTAATTGTAAAAATAACAACATTCCACCTTTTTTGCTAATTAATTAACTAATCTAATCTTTGATTCCATTCTTCAAAACATACCCCAACTTGGACCTGACTTTGAAATTTAACTACTATCAGCCAAACTGTCATTGAGTTGCTTCCAAGTGTAGAAATCTAAACTCACAATCATCATTGATACTATCTTTTAGGGTTGTTTGGTATGATTTATAAGTAATAGTTAATCCTGGGATACAAATTTAGCACTGCATTATTCCTTGTTTGGTTACTAATCTGGGATAAGGTATTCCAAGGTTGATAAATATAGTATTAGAATAATTTATACATGCAGAGGGTGGAATAGGAGTCTTACGATAAGTATCCCAGGATAAAGTAGTAAAATCGACAATCCAAGAATTAATACAACATACCAAACAATAAATAAAAAATAATATCAGGATAACTAAGCCCAACATTTAACTAATTTCAGTAGAACTATTCCCAACATAATTAATCTTAGCATAAATTATTTTCAAACCAAACGACTCCTTAGAGTGTACTTCATCAAACAAACAACACCATATGTATAAATTAAGATTTCTCTAATATTTTGTATAATTTAATATTTAAGTAAATTATTTTTATTTTAATTATTTATGCATTCACTATTAAATATAGATAAATTATACTCATCGAAATATTATGCTGAGAAACAAACCGTTTTAATATATTATCTAATATTAAAATTTAAAGATAATATTTTAAATTCTGATTCAGATATCGTAATCCTTTAAAAAAAAGGAAAATACAATACAAACGATGCACAAGACTCTTAAGCTACTTTCTATTAGCAGGGATTCTCAACTTTGCCAAGAGAAAAAGGACAACTAGCTTAGTGCACAAAGTATTTGTATTTACACAGAGTCGAACGAAGGGTCGTATATTAAAAGGTATGATGTAGACCACCTATCCAAGATGGCCGATTCTCTAACTTTGCTAATTAGAGCAAATGGTCTGATCAATAGGCATAAGAACCCATCATCCATTTGAAGTTTTGGTAGGTATGTGCAAATTGTCCCAAAAAAAGAACAGAAACGGAAAGGGTAATTTGAAAGGCATGCCACCAATTCTTACACTTCATTCAAACCGTTCCTAATTTCTTGTCTCTTTCATCATCAATTTTAAAAGGGTATAATCCAAAACTAATTTTTTTAAATATCAACCTTCTCCTACTTATATTTGTCACCTTTGTGTATCATTGCAGTCAGAAAAATGAATCCTAAAGCCATAATTTTCCCACTTTTCATAGCAATAACTGCTGCTTTTGTATCAACAAATTTCACGTACTTCAACTGCATTCTTAATGTTAATCGACGCCATCACGATCATCACCATCACTCCGATGGTGATAAGGCAAAAATATCAATATGTGACAAATTTTCGCCGAATTTTCCCACTATAGACACTAATACAACGTCCATTCTATGCGTTGATCATAATGGCTGTTGTAATTTCACTACAGTGCAAGCTGCAGTTGATGCAGTTGGAAATTTTAGTGCGAAAAGAAGCTTAATATGGATAAACAATGGCATTTATTTGTAAGAAGTGGAGTAGTTCTATTTGTTTGGAAGTGACTTTTGTTAATTAATTTCTCTTTTTTTGTTATGTAACGTATTGTTTTTGTTTGTTTGAAATGCAGTGAAAAAGTAATTATTCCAAAAACAAAACCTAACATCACATTTCAAGGGCAAGGGTATACCACAACAGCTATTGTATGGAATGACACAGCCAATTCTGCAAATGGCACATTTTACAGTGGATCTGTCCAAATTTTCTCTACCAACTTTATTGCCAAGAATATAAGTTTCATGGTATATTATTATCAACCCTTTCATTTTCATGCACGAAAAGTATATACTCCCTTTGTTTCAAAAATATTGTCTTAATTTGACTTGACACAAACTTTAATACAAAAGGGAAGACTCTTGAAATATGTGATCTTAAATAAGCCATAGCATTTATATGACCGTAAAACTTTTGAAACTTGTGGTATGAAACCCACCGTAACATTTGTGTGGCTATAAATGATTCTTATTAAGAAAATATTGAAAGGTGCCAATTTTTTTGAAACATACTAATAAGCAAATAGTGTCAATCTTTTTTAAACAGGGGGCGTAATTTTAATTTCACTATAGTGATCTGATAGTGTAAAAATTCTCATATACTTTTACTTGCATCGGTGTTTTAATAATTTAAGCAACCCTGCTACGTATTTTATTGTCGACATTAATACAGAATGTAGCTCCAATGCCGGGGCCAGGGGCAGTAGGAGCGCAAGCAGTGGCAATTAGGATAGCAGGAGATGAAGCTGCTTTCTGGGGTTGTGGATTTTTCGGAGCTCAGGATACTCTTCATGATGATAGGGGTCGCCATTATTTCAAAGATTGTTATATTCAGGGTTCTATCGACTTTATTTTTGGCAATGGCAAATCATTGTACGAGGTAACTTTTATTTCACCTAATCATTTAGTAAGTCGTTTTGACAAACTGAATTTGTTTTAAATTATTTAACGTTTTAGAAAAATGATAAGTAATTTAAGTACTATTTTTCGGATCTATCCTTAAGAGTATTAATTAAGTGAGACGTTAAGGAGAGCTAGATTTTTTAATACTCCAATAATTTAGATAAATACTCTTAGCTTTAATAAGTGATCTTCTTAAGAGGTGCACTTAGCAGCATTTATCATGTCGCAAGTACGAAAAAGATTGCTTAAAGTTCAAAGTACATGTTTTCTTTATCCCATAAAACACAGAATATTTCACTTGCTCCATTAGTTTTTAATCAAAACAAGCACATATCAAATGCACCTAATAGTTAAAATAAATGAACAAATGATAAAGTTTGAAGAGGTTTCAATAAGGAGTACAGTCAAACCTCTCTGTAATAGCCTTGGTTGTTCCAGATTTGTTTTGGTTGTTATACCGATATGCTTTTAAATAGAACATATATTATAACATAACATGGAAATTAATTCCAAAAAAACTTAGTTTTTATGGTGAATGGTTGTTATATATCAATACTACTATAGAAAAGTCTGACTCTATTACTAATAGTTTTAAGAACATGCAGAACTGCCAGTTGATATCAATAGCAAGTCCAGTAGCAGCAGGAGTGAAGTCGATCAATGGCGCTGTGACAGCACACGGCAGAGCAACCAAAGACGAAAACAGCGGCTTTGCATTCGTGAACTGCACTTTGGGAGGAACTGGTAGGATTTGGTTGGGGCGTGCATGGAGGCCTTACTCCACTGTCGTCTTTGCTAACACTTACATGACTGATATCGTCGCTCCTGAGGGCTGGAATGACTTTAACGACCCTTCAAGAGATCAGTTAAGTCGTTTCATTTCATCTATAAGTTCAAACTATGATAATAAAAAAAAAATATGATAAACTCAGTGTTGGAACTTTTCCCATTAAAGTGAGTTACAGCCCAGTTCCTCGTCCATCCCATTAATTGCCTGGATATCCCCTACCAATGTAACATTTTGTGCCATATATCACAGCTGCAACTTCAAATTTGAGAAACAAATATAAGCAATACTCTCCTCAAGTTACACAGAGGGCATAGTTGATTTGATATTATACCCCATTTTGCCAACCTATCCTTGCGTATATATAGTGTCTCATGAGCAACCAATCTGAGGATGAATATCCACTTAGGCGCACCATAATTGTTACAAACTAATCTTCTCCAACATACCTTCACTACAGGAAATAATAGATAGCACCACTTTTGGTGGCAACTAAAGAGGTCACCATTGAACATCGTCACTGAAACCTTATTTCCTATATGCTCTAACAATAACAAATGTTAAAGTTAGTCGTTGAAGCCAAGTATATTATATTATTCCTTAAACTATTAATTTCTTATCAAAAATATTACTTTAGTTAATTGAAACTTTCTTTATTTTTTATTATACATATAATTTTTGTGAAAAAATTTCGGCAAGGCTTGGAACAATGTGAATATTCAACTGCCCCTATTATTATTATTATTATTATTATTATTATTATTATTATTATTATTATTATTATTATTA